GCGGGGGAGCAAACCGGAGAGTGAAGAAAAAAAGGAAACAGGCCAGGGGGACTTTTTTTTTTTTTTTTTAATCCGAATTCATTTTGTATTTACATTTTGGAAGTCAAGCGATTTATTAGGTTTCATCCATCTTTTTTCGGCCTCAGCGCCGCCTTTTCAACGTTGCCCTTTGACCCGAGCAGAGCCACGAAGATGACATCACACCGCTGACGCTTTCCATTCCGACCCGCTCGGATCGGCGTCGTCGCCCGCGTACCTCGCTCACCGTTGCTCTGGACTCTTGAAGTATTTCGAAGGCGTCCATCCTCGCCACGTCTTCTCCCCGTAGCCTCGCTTCCCCCCGGCCTCCTTTCGTCAAACTCATTGCTTCACCTTTTACGACTTGCTTTTTTTTTCCATACTTCTTTTTTTCTTCACATTTGTTTTACGTCATTCTTTTCTCATGTGCCCAACTTGTTTTTTTTTTTTTTAATGCATTTTCTTTCCGACCAGACTTGAGTTTTTCTTTGGAAATGCTCACTTGTTGGCAGTGACAAGGAGGGAGGGACTGCCGGCAGGATGGATAGCGGAGGGGAAGGGGGGGGGGGGGCAAAAAGGCAAGTGTTGATTGCAAAACCAATTTCCCACTAATGAAGCCCGCCGAGACGGCGAAATGGGAGCGCGTCGTTAGTGTCGCCGTTAATTCATCAAGGACGCCAGGGAAGGCAGAAGGAGGGCTGCGCCGCCACTGTCGCCGCCGCCCCTGATTGCTCCAAAGCATGCGGAGGAAACGTTTTCGCATTCGCTCAACTCTCAACCGCCGACCTAAAATATTTTGACGATAAAAATCCAATCGGCCTTGTAGTTGTTTGTGGAATGTATTGATTTTCCATTCACGAAGTGTATCAGCGTGAAATATTAGGACAAATCCTCATCAAATATCAATACAAGGAATATGAATAATAATGCTACAATAATAAAAGGGACTATGGGCAATTTCTCGCTCTTATTATTTGCCGTAGTTGTCGGAGTCCCGGAGTAGAGATGATGAAATGTATTCATGTATTTCGAAACACACACACACACACACACACACACACACACAAAATTGCAAATTCACTCCAAAAATCCTCCACAACATGGATTCACCGCTGACTTGATGTGTTGTGGCTCCGCCCCCCCCGCAGCCCAGCTGTGCAACGGGCCCTTCCACAAGCACCTCCAGGAACTTTTTGTCCCTCTGGTGGTGCGCTACATCGACCTGATGGAGTCATCCATCGCGCAGTCCATCCATCGCGGCTTCGAGCAGGAGACATGGCAGTCCGTCAAGTAAGAATAAAAATTTGTTTGAAGACAAGTTTGAAAGATGCACGGGGGGGGCTTGCTGACCGTTTATTCCAATGGAGAGGGAGCGGCAACAGAAAAGGCTATATCCCCTCGGAGCCTTCGCTTAGTTCTCCCTACCTGTTCCTCACACCTGAGGCGCCAGGCCGGCGCGTAGCGGTCCACGGAGGCTAGGAGGCCATTTCAAGATTTCAAAACCAATCGTAGGATCTTTGAAAGAACTCTAAAATGAGCCCGTGAAGGGCTGCCAGAGTAGGAATTTTGTGCTCCCTCTTGCCAATACCAGTCAAGTGGCGAGCGGCGGCATTTTGGATCAACTGGAGACGCTTGATGGAGGATTGGCTGACTCCAAAGTCAAGTGCACGACAGTCATCCAGTCGGGATGTGACCAAGGCCCGGATGACGGTTTCAAAGTGCTCACCGGAGAAAGGAGAGAGGCTTGACTAATCGACAACGGGTGCAATAATCTGCCTAACTTCTTCTCACTGTTAAGTGGAATAGCTTGTTGCGACTAGTGGGGGCGCGCGGAGCCGATGTTTGCCTTGAGCTCCTCTTTAATAATGCGTTCAAATAACACAGCGCCTTGGGGTAGACCAGAAGTGACCAAACAAGGGAACTCGAGCACACGAGGCGGCGATGGCGCTCGTCGCCATCCACGGTCGATATTTCGCTCTCCGCGCCTGGTGTGAGGTGGTGGGGTGTGGGTGGGGCATTTTTCGGACCGGTTTGATTTTTTTGCCGCTAGTTGCGCTGGGCACAGGAGCCAACCGCATACGGCCATTTTCCGCAGCGCTCTTCGTCCACCCAATACGGCGCCCCCTGTAGGGGCATTTCAGACACTCTCCTGCAGGATAAACGAGTTGCGACTGCCTGTACAGAATTGGAAGGCAAGCGGCAACGGGACAAGCGACGCAATATCTGTTGGGCGCTCGCGGCGTTTTGCGCCGAGCCAAGCCGACGCCGACTTTTGCTGCTTTCGTTGCTCCCTGCTCACTGTCCGCTTCTCTTCCTCTTCTTCTTCTCTTCGTTTTTTTTCTTTCCAATTCCCTTGGGGCCCGATCAGGTGTCCGGCGAGCAATCTCCCCAAAGTGCCGACTCCGCCTGCCTCGCTGCCGAGTTTCGCCGCGCTGGCCCGGATGGCGCCGTCCTGTCGCAACACGTACGTTGGCCAGCGAGGGGCGCCCTTCCTTTGCGCCGCGGCCCGCTGTCTGGTTGTCGGCCTCGTTTGAGGCACGGAGCAACGCGAGGTTCTCAACGCTTTGTCGTCTCCGTGCTCGGCGCAATGCGCACAAGGCCCGTTTTGGGGGAGCTCGCCATATGTTTGTTCTTCGGCGTCGGTCTGTGCTTGGTGCTCTGCATGGTTCTGTACTTGCCCCGATGCATGTTTGGCGCCGAGTCCGTAATTGGTGCTGCCTCGGTCTCGGGTGCTGTCTCTACGCTCGGTGCCGCGCATGGTTCTACAGGCCCGCCCGCTTCTGCGCTTCGTCGAAGGCGTGGCCGATGTACGTCTGGTGCCGCCGTGAGCGCATGCTCGCTTTTAGGATTTGTTGAAGACGCGCTTTGTCGTTTGGGCTTCTGCGAGGTTCTGCGCTTTGATCCGTTCACGATTCATTGTTGGTACTCGACATCGGACCGGGCGTGGTCGTGCTCGTGCTCGGTTCTGTCCATTTGAATTGAGGTCCGCACGATGTTTGGAGGTGTGTTTTGCCCTAGAGGTCCGTCTTCAAAAAAAAGCCTCATCCAACCTGGTAATCGCCTCCGCTCATTCGTCCTCGTCCTGAAATTTGCTTCCGATGCCTTTGTCCGTCCCTCCGATGTTTTTTTTGGTGACTTTGCGATCAGTTGTCAGTCAATCCTGTCATGTGAAAAAGGACACGGAGCGTTTTTTTTTTTCTTCTCTGCATCCCCCCCCACCCCCCACCCCACCCCCACAGGGTAAGGAAAGTATTTGAGGTCATGTTAAAAAGTAAAGTTTGGACCATCCGACGCAGTTGAAGGACTTTTTGAGTGGAACAAATGAAAAGTGGAAGCCATCAAAAGCCGAGAACGCGTTGGCGCACGGCAAGGCCGGCGGGAAAGGGAACAATTGTGCTTTTCACAATGACGAATGGTTCTTAGCTGCCATTTCAACTTGAAGCTTCATTTGTGCTGGTTTTCTTTATGCTGCAAAGCAGACCCCCCCCCCAAAAAAAAAAAAAGCTTTGGAAGCAAAAAGTCAGTGTCCGCCATCTTGAACACCAATATCAGGTCCCACACACAGTGCTGATCTTGACCCTTTTCACACTCTGACCCTCACCCAAGTGCCATGCTTTACCCCGTCCATCATCATCATCATCATCATCATCATCGACTCTCGATCAAAATTCCCGTCAGTCTGTCTCCTTTCGAGGGTCTCCTTGGCCGTTGTTGACACGGGGTTCCCGGTCGATCTAGTGAAGGTTTGCGCTGTTTCATGAAGACATGAGGATGTGGGGACGCCCTTTTTTTTTATTGATTGTTTGTTTTCCCGGAGGAACTTCCAACCGCAGCTTGGGGACGTCCGGTTACCGTGGTTACCGCACGGCTAAGCTGCTAACTTCCTGCTCACTTGAACAACGCGTCCGTTGGTGGCCATATTGGTGGCCAAGTTGGTGGCGTTATGTTACTTGGGGGTCTGTTGGGGATTGTGTGTGTGTGGGAGGGGTGGAGGGTAGTGGGGGGGGGGACAACACTCAGACCACACTCGGTGCTTCATGAAAGCCGCGAAAAAAAAAAAGAAAACAAGCTGGCACTTCATTAGCGAGCACAGACGGGTGAGTGGGATTGGCCCGTCACCCCTGGGGGGGTGGGGGTGGGGCCTTCACAGGAGAGCCCCGCTAATTAGACATGAGGGGGCTAGCCCAAAGCCTCCACGCCGCCGCCGCCACTTGTTGTTGTGCTCGTCTTTTAAAGGCCAAGTGAGAAAAGTGAGCGGCGTTAATTTGAGTGCCCCCCCCCCCCACACACACACCCTTACGATTCCTCTTCCTTCGCGTCGTCTCACGGCTGTCCTCCTAGCCGCCCGCTGCACACTTGCACGTCGCGTCGTCACCCGCGTGTGGCGGACGTCCGTCCGCCCTTGAGATGAGCGCGCTCGTTTCTTGTCGACTTGTTGCCGTTGCGCGCGCGTTGCACATCGACGCCACGCACGGCGCACGCTCGCGGGCCACTTCGATGGCGACGCCACTTTTGATTGGACCGCAAAATGAATGGCGGGTGTTGATCAGCGGGAAGAATGAATGAATAAAAGCACTCTCTCCCCCCCACCACAAAAAAAAAAAAACAATCACCCGGCGTCATCAAAAATGACGTTTTGCGGTTGTTGTTTTGTTTTGCGTCGGCGACAGAAACGGCTCCGCCACGTCCGAGGATCTTTTCTGGAAGCTCAACGCGCTGCAGGCGTTCGTGTCGGACCTCCGCTGGCCCGAGGCCGAGTTCGCCGGCCACCTGGAGCAGAGACTCAAGCTGATGGCCAGCGACATGATGGAGGCCTGCGTCAAGAGGTCGGGCGGCCGGCCGCGCGCAAATGGCCGCCGTTGCTTTAAAATCTTCCAATGGCTTTGCCCCCCCCCATGCAGGACCAAATGCGCCTTTGAGGGCAAATTGCAGAAAGCCAGCAGGTCGACGGACTTGCGCGTGCCCCTCTGCGTCTGCACCATGCTGAACATCCTCGTGGACGCCAAGAGGCACTGCTCCAAACTCTGCGCGCTGGACACCGGGCAGGAGGTACTTGAGTTGTTTGTGTGTGTTCGTGTTTATGTCTGAGATAAAATTTGCTATAGTGAAAAACCCCCTGTTGTGAAAAAATTCGAATGGCCGCTGGGCCGGCGTGAGGCTGCAGCCTTGACGCCAATGACGGTGAAAATCCCTCCGACGAAGGCCCCTACCCCACCCTCCCCCTCGCTTCCCCTCAGCCTGTCGGAGATCTAAAAACAAGAGCGAACAATACAAAATGGCTCCGTGGCCTCAATCATGAAAATTGCTTCTATACACTTATATCCCCGTGCGTATACCGTGTGTGTATGGTGCCGAGGGACATTCTACTCCTTCATCACGGCAAAATCAGACACTTTCCTTTGATTTCTTTGAAGAAATATTCATTTTCCCGCCGTGCTTGAAATCTTCTGCACTCACTCGCTGTCTTTTTGTTTCTACGGCGCTGCCATTGCTGGTGACTCATAATAAATGTTTTTCTTTGCTTAATTTTGTTTCGTGGAAAAACACCTTTTTCCGTTACTGGCTCCATCTAGCGTTGAAACTCAGAAGTTGAGCTCCAGTGCAATGTACGGGCCATATTCAACGATAGCTTCAGAATTTGCCGCGGGCCAATAAAAAACAAACACGCGGGACACAGTTGGCCCGCGGGCCGTAGTTTGGACACCACTGGTGTACAGGAATGTTAAAAGTGTGCCTTGGCGTATGAATGTCATGATACTCTGTGAAGTTGAACATGTTTGTCTCGTTCTGGTTCTTTGTCCGTTGGTCCGTCCGCGTCATCGTTGGACTCTCAGACGGACACACAATGGGTAAGTCGCCACTCTTGATTTTGTCCGCCAAACATGACATTTTTTTTTTCTTTTTTGGACTTCTTTTCGGAAAGTGCCACAGTCAACAATGTCCACAAACGGAACCTGAGCAAAATCGTATCGCCAACCGCCACGTCACTTCGCCAGAGGCTGAGCCGCACGGTGTTTGTTTTCAGACTGACGTGTGGCTAAGTTGCGAATGTCTTCTGTGCTTCAACGGTGTGGAGAAAAAATTCCAATCTGTCCATGAAGAGCCATTTCGGAAGAAAGCCTCCCCCTTCAAATACCCCCCTGAAAATGTGGTTCGTTAAGGGGGTGGAGGTAGGGGGGGG